CACACACACAAAAACCCACATGCAAACATGCACAAGCACAAATACACACATGCACGCACACATGCACGCACACAGACACAAAACAAATAATTGTAAAAATACTTTTATTACAGTATAAATAATTCCCTTCCCATGTTAATATGATAATAATACTTAACAATACTTAATAATAATAATAATAATAATAATACAAGTATTGCTCATTATTCATAGTGAACAACACTTATTCTTGCCATAAATAAATTACTAAAAGCTGTTACACCTAAAATAACTGAAGTAATTTATTACTGAAAACTGTTATCAATTAAGTTTGTCAAACTTAATTCCTTTAAGAGTAACGAGTCCAAGTAATTTAAGTTTCCCCTTTTTACGGTGCAGCTTGTAAATCGTGCGTTTAAAAGATAAACACGGCAAGATCTCTAAATATAACCGGATATTTACACATTCCATCCCTGCACTATATACAATAATCCTCATCAGTTTGTACATTAAACTTCGCAGCATTAATACATCAGCTGATGTCTATATGATACAGGCTGAACATCGCTTCTATATTGTTTATCATTTCTTGCCTCCGTATTCATTTGGTTCATTTGATGCCTTCATTATATCTGGCAAAGAGGAATTGAGCTTCATTTTAATGTTTATTAGGAGTTTTGATCCCACTTTATATTAAGTGTCCTTAACTACTATGTACTTACCGTTTTTATAGCATTAAATTACTGGCTAAAAACAAACTGTTAACAAAAATGAAGATCTGCACCCTTATCAGCTGATAACCAGAGCTTTAACTGATCAGAACCATCTTTTGGGACGTTTTCTTGCAAGTGTAATACATTTTTTTTTCAAGTCTCGTTCATTAACACAGAGATGGCGGGCTTTATGACTTGTACTGCAGCCAGCCCCCAGGGGGCGATCTAACTGCGCCACTCAAAAGCTGGTGTGTGGCACCCAGAAGAAACCCACGCCAACACGGGGAGAAAATGCAAACTCTACACAGAAATGTCAACTGACCCAGCCAGGACTTGAACCATTGACCTTCTTGCTGTGAGGCGACATCGCTACCCATTGTGCCACCGTGCCGCCCCACTTTTATATTTATTCTTTTATTACTTTAAGAGTTCTGATGCAAAAGCCTCTAAATATCATCCGAACTGTTCTTCTAAAGGGGCAGCAAGGTGGCTCAGTGCTTAACCCTGTGGCCTCACAACAAGAAGGTTGCTGGGCAAGTCCCAGCTAGGTCAGTTGGTATTTCTGTGCGGAGTTTGCATGTTCTCCCTGTGTTGGCGAGGGTTTCCTCTGGGTGCTCCGGTTTCCCCCACAGTCCAAACACATGCACTATAGGGGAACTGATGAACTAAATTGGCCGTAGTGTATGAGAATGAATGTGTATGGGTGTTTCCCAGTACTGGGTTGCAGTTGGAAGGGCATCTGCTGTGTAAAAATATGCTTGAATAGTTGTTGGTTCATTCCGCTGTGGCGACTCCTGCTAAAAAAAAGAGACAGAGCAGAAAAAAAAATGAATGAATGAATCCTCCCATATGGATGCTCATTTAAAGCACTGCACCTCTCGAATATGCTCAGTTTCTCTGTGTGTACAGCTGGAATATTTCCAGATTCCTGCATTCCTGAACTGCGCACACACACACACACACACACACACAACAAGCTCATTGTTTACAGCGGAACAACCTGTAACATGGCCTGGGCTTAAGTCCAGAGGGGCCACAGTTGCCATGGCAACAGCGCAGGGCCCTAAACACACAACACACCACTGTATGGACAGAACAATCACCTGTGCTGCTGCTGCTGCTGCTGGGAAAACACCCACACACAAAGATGCACGCACACACGCATGCACAAACACACAATATATGCACTGCTGTTCCAGTAGAGGGCAGAGTTTTCTGTGTATATGTGTGTGTGTGTGTGTGTGTGTGTGGGTATGTAAATCTTACCTGTCTACCCTTTAAAAAATCCCTAAATTAGAAAATACGATCACTTGGAGCTGTTTCGTTGTAAATAAACAGTTAAATGGTCGGTAATATGTTTTTTTATAATTATTATTTACAAATATATACATAATATATAAACATTAGCAGCAAATAAATTAGCAAACACGGGAAAAAAGTACGGGAAAAAAACTTTACAGGATGATAGCGGGATAGAACTGTAAAATAAGGTAGAATCCCAGGAAAAACGGGAGGGTTGACAGGTATGATGTAAATAAACGTGATTGTTCAACCTGTGTTTGTTGACTAACAATAACCAAATGCCGAGCGAGACGCATGCTTTCTGTTTATACTAGAACGTGCATGCCCAGAGTGTGTGAATAGTCACGTGATATACGTTTTTGGTGGCGCAGTGTGAAACGCTAGTGTGGACACGGATCGTTTTTGATCTAAATGCAGTTTTAAAACTAAAACATGAACAGAAATGTAGAAATTTGACCGAAATAAAACAAAATGATTACTATACACACACACACACACACACACACACACACACACACACACACACACACACACACCCACAAATATATATATATAAATATATACATAAATATATATATATATACATACATACATACATATATACATACATATATATATATATAAAATTGTAGTTTGAATGGTAAGCTTAAACCAAGTCTGATTTTAAATGCAATAGCAGTGTTTTTACTATGAACTAGGTCTATCAGTATCTAATAAGAGGTTTTTTGCTGCCATCTAGTGTCTACAATTATAGTTTCAAACTAAATGTATTTGTTCAGAATGTCACATGAGCTTAATATAACTGTGAGGTTTGCAGCCAAAATGCAGCCTGCAGGTTAATGATGACGCAACTATCATTTGACCCCAAACAGCGGCACCTTAGTGAATATAAGAATTAGAATAATTAATATTAATGAATATTACACCTGCTCAATAAAAATCAGATAATTCACTACATCGATAAATCTGACATAACTTGATCAGAAATATAAAAAAGGGGAGAAAAAGATTAAGCCATTGTGGTCCAGCGGCCTGCGCTTTACATTACGACGCTGCTGCTGACCCGAGTTCGAACCTCACCTGAGTACATTTTTATTTTTTCATTTTTAGTGTTAAGACATATAATACTGTTTGGGTTACTTATATAGGTGTACATATTTTATTTTTATTTTGTGTGTGACCACCGTTAAAAAAGACTGGATATCTATAAAGAATTTAGCCAAGACTATATAGTCAGATTTTGCAGGCAGGGACATTGTAAGGTTTTAAAGAATAGTGTTAGAGATTTAGCTACCGTTTAATCTTCTCATCTTTATGAAAAACATTTGAAGTTCTGCACTTTTTTGAAGTTTTGACACTTATGTTGTTTAGCTCTATGACAACCCAAAATTTAAGGCAGACACTAAAACAAATCCACGAGGGAATGTAATAACTGGAAAAATATAATGTGTAAGTAAATTAATGAAGTGGCAGGCTGGGACTAAATCAGATTTTAAATGCAATATGAGTTTATACCACTTCAAGATGTGATTCAGAATTATCTTAACTGTAATTTCAGTGATTTTACACAGAAAGAATAAAACAGCAAAGGTGTGCAAGGGTTATGATAAATGATAAGTGGTCTTGTGCTGCCATCTAGTGGCTAAATGGTAGGCGACAATTGAAAGTCTGTGTTTTAATGGCTAACATTGTATTCAAATATGTTTCATTAAGGCATTTTAAACATCCAGGAGGGACATGATTTGAAAAACATAATGTGTAAATAAATTAAGTTATAAACTTGGACTAAAACTGTTTTTAAATGCGATAACAGTGTTCATACCGTGTCAAGACGTGATTCAGAATCTTTCTTGCAAATTCAATTACTTTGAACCAACAAAAAGTGGTCTTGTGCTGTCATCTAGTCTACAAGTAGTAATGCATTTTTGAGTTTCAAGTCTCTAGGCCATATGCCCCATTCACAAGGGGCATCAGCATTAACGCTTCCTATTCGCTTTGAATGGGTGACGTCAGGCGTTGCCGAACTGCATTGTGGATTCGTCAGCCCCGTTTCAGAGGCATTGCTCGCTGCAGAAGTTGGGACTAGCTCAACTTTTCAAGCGCCGACAGAAGCGTCAGCCAATCAGATCGCTGTATGCAAACACACCAGCTAGATAGTGGCCTATTGCTGACTGAATTTCATTGGCTGACGCTGCTATGACGATCGCTTCAGCTCCAACTTCAGACGCGCCTTCAGTCAAGCGTTGACGCTGCAGCCCCGTGTGAATGGGGCGTTACGGTTTAGTCTGCCAGTTCTGCATTACGGCTGAAGAAAAAAAATAAAAATTCTAACAAACACAATAGGGTTTCAGCACAAAGTGAACCATAGAAAATGCTGTGAACCGGCAAAATACATGCTCCCAAACTCAAATTCAGCTTGACACGTCCTGCAACAGAACCTGATAATGTAACATACGCCCTTACTAGGGTGCATCCTTCTGATTGAGATGCATCCCATCACTTCCTAATTGAATCAATTGAATAAATGACATTTTATGACATTGTCACCTCCTATTGCTAACTATAGCTCCTTATTTACACTATTTTATTCCGTCACACTTTATTTTAAAGTACAGTTTTCACCATTAATAAACCCTTAACTATGACTTCCAGCTCAATAAACTCTTAATTAGCTGCTTATTAATAGTTAGTAAGGTGGTAGTTGGGTTTAGGCACTAGCTAGGGTCAGAGATGCAAAATAAGATCATGCAGAAGACATTCTTTATAAGTACTAAGAGTTCATATCTTGATAATAGGCAGGTAATAATAAGCCAGTAGTTAATACTAAGAACTGACACTTAAGCTAATTATCTGATATATATCTGTATTAATAAACAACACTGACAATAAAAATTCACCTTTTTGTAATTAAGGATTTCTCAAACAGTGTTGATGAAATGCCAATAATGCATTGATGTCAGTCTGAGGTGTTGTGTTGTGTTTTGTTTAGTGTTGTGTTTTTCTGACCTCGGGCGCCAGATACTCTGGAGTCCCGCAGAAGGTCTTCATAGTGGCTCCGTCTGTGATCCCCTCTTTACACAAGCCGAAATCTGTGATCTTTACGTGTCCGTCTTTATCCAGCATCAGGTTCTCCAGCTGAAAGGAACAATCAGAAAACACTGAGATGATGAATGGAAAACACACAGGCCTTTGCGTATAGACATATAATGTAATGCAGTACAGTAACGTGTCGTCTGTTTGATTCGGTTGTCTTCGTTTTAATGGTTTGGTGATGATGTGATGGTGTGCTTTATCTGCCTGATTCCCATCTAAAGTGGGCGGGTTGTGTGACGTTTTGATTCGGGGGACGTTCTGGGGGCGGGGTTTGTGTGACGCACTGTGAGCTACTAGCCTTAAAGGTGGAAACGCGACATGATTTCAGCCTCACTGCTCAACCTCCCTAGCGATTGGTCCAGCCCGGCCTGGTAAAAGCTCTGGCTCCACAGTGAAAATGCATCTATTGGTACGGCCTATTTCAGATCCTCAAAATAACGCGCCAACAATGCGCCTTAACACACCTCCTTTATAGACCAGCACACTCATGAGTCCACAAAGTGGCGCAAATGGATTTGCTATTTAAACAACCGGGTGCAAAACGTGAAAATGACTGTGCTGGTCTGACAATAGCAACAAATCCTGCCAAACACGCCTTGTGTCTTACTGCGGCGGGTGTATGATAGGGCCCTGTGTTTGTGTCTGTATGTATACTGCTATCTATCTGTGTGTGGTGTATCAGCACATCTGTGTGTGCGCCAGCTTGTCCCTGAATGCGTGTATCAGTGAGTATGTGACTCTGTGTATATGTATATACAGTATGTGTGTGTCCTTCTCTGTGTATATGTGTGTGTGCGTGTGTGTGTTTGTCAGCTGGCAGCTGTAAATGTGACACGTGGCCAGAGGTCTGAGTGCACCAGTCAGCATAAACCTCCATCCTGCTTCAGCGGCACTTTCACAAGAACTAACAACACACACACACACACTCACATACACACGCGCACACACCCATACAGACAGACAGACACAGACCTAGACAAGCGCACACACTTACACTCACACAAACACACACACACACACACACACACACACACACACACACACACACACACACACACACACACACACACACACACACACACACACACTTCTATAGGTGTATGGTCTGACCTTCAGGTCCCGGTAGACCACGTTTCTTTCGGAGTGCAGGTAGTGCAGCGCAGACACGATCTCAGCCCCGTAGAAACACGCTCGCTCCTCTGAGAACACACGCTCTCGAGACAAGTGGAAGAAAAGCTGTGGACACAAACACAGACATGATTATGCATTTACACTCACCGGCCATTTTATTAGGTACACCTGTCCAACAGCTTGTTAACGCAAATTTCTAATCAGCCAATCACATGGCAGCAACTCAATGCATTCAGGCATGTAGACATGGTCAAGACGACCAGCTGCAGTTCAGAGCGAATATCAGAATGGGGAAGAAAGATGATTTAAGTGACTCTGAATGTGGCATGGTTGTTCAGATGGGCTGCTCTGAGTATTTCAGAAACTGCTGATCTACTGGGATTTTCACGCACAACCATCTCTAGGGTTTACAGAGAATGGTCTGACAAAGAGGAAATATCCAGTGAGCGGCAGTTCTGTGTGCGCAAATGCCTTGTTGATGCCAGAGGTCAGAGGAGAATGGCCAGACTGGTTCCAGCTGTTAGAAAGGCAACAGTAACTCAAATAAGCACTCGATACAACCGAGCTCTGCAGAAGAGCATCTCTGAACACACAACACGTCCAACCTTGAGGCGGATGGGCTACAGCAGCAGAAGAGCACACCGGGTGCCGCTCCTGTCAGCTAAGAACAGGAAACTGAGGCTACAATTCACACAGACTCACCAAAACTGGACAATAGAAGATTGGAGAAACGTTGCTGCTCTGATGAGTCTCCATTTCTGCTGACACATTCAGATGCTCGGCTCACAATTTAACATCAACAACATGAAAGCATGGATCATCCTGCCTTGTATCAGCGGTTCAGGCTGGTGGTGGTGGTGTAATGGTGTGGGGGAGATTTTCTTTGGGTCCATTAGTACCAATTGAGCATCAACGCCACAGCCTACCTGAGTATTGCTGCTGACCATGTCCATCCCTTTATGAGCACAGTGTCTCCATCTTCTGATGGCTACTTCCAGCAGGATAACGCAGCATGTCATAAAGCTCAATCATCTCAGACTGGTTTCTTGAACATGACGATGAGTTCACTGTACTCAAATGGCCTCCCCAGTCACCAGAGCTCAATTCAATAAAGCAGCTTTGGGATGTGGTGTTTGTTACCAACAATGGATTAGTAGATATACACAAACACACACACAATCATCCACATAGACATGTACACACAAACAAACAGACACACTCTCTCACACACATGTACACATATATGCACTCATGCACGCAAGTACGCACACACACATGCGGCTGCAGTAAAGCATCAACGCTCACCTCTCCTCCATTTGCGTACTCCATCACAAAACACAAGTGATCATGAGTCTGGAACGATGACTTCAGAGCCTGAACAAACACACACACACACACACCACATCTATTCAAATTTAAATGATTAAATAAATAAATGTGTGTGTGTGTTTACGTGAGAGTTTCTGTGCCTCTGTGTGTGTGTGTGTGTGTGTGTGTATGTGTGTGTGTGTGCATGTGTATGTGTGAATGCGTGCATGTGTGTATGTGTTTGTGTGCATGTGTATGTGTTTGTGTGAATGCGTGCATGTGTGTGTGTGTGTGTGTATGTGTTTGTGTGAATGCGTGCATGTGTGTGTGTGTTTATGTGTATATGGGTATGTGTGAATGCATGCATGTGCGTGTGTGTGTGCATGTGAGTGTGTGTGTGTACAATATATGTATATGTGTGTGTGTGCATGTGAGAGCATGATTGTGTTCAGTGTGTGTGTAAGTCTGAATGTGTGTGTCTGTATGTACTGTATATGTGTATGTGTGCGTGTGCATTTGAGTGTGAGTCTGTGTTCAGTGTGTGTGTCAGTGTCAGTGTATGTGTGTCGGTGTGAGTGTGTTCAGTGTGTGTGAATGTATATGTGAGAGTTTCTGTGCCTCTGTGTGTGTGTGTGTGTGTGTGTGTGTGTGTTTGTTTTTGAATGCATGTGTGTCTGTGTGTCAGCGCATGTGTGTTTAAGTGTGTGTTTATGTGAGAGTTTCTGTGTCTGTGTGTGTTTTTGAATGCACGTGTGTATGTGTGTGTGCGCATGTGTATGTGTGAATGCGTGCGCGTCTCCCTGTGTGTACAGTATATGTATGTGTGTGTGTGCATGTGAGAGTGTAATTGTGTTCAGTGTGTGTAAGTCTCAGAGTGTGTGTGTACAGTATATGTGTATGTGTGCATGTGAGAGTGTGTGAATCTGTGTGATTGTGTTCAGCGTGTGTATGTGTGAGTGTGCACACTGTATGTACAGTATATGTGTGCATGTAAGAGTGTGTGTGTGATTGTGTTCAGTGTGTGTGTGTGTGTGTGTGTGTGTGTGTGTGTGTGTGTGTGTGTGTGCATATGAGTGTCTGACCGTCAGGAACGGGTGTCTGGAGTTCTGCAGCACTCGGTTCTCTGTCAGTGTGTGAGCAACTTCATCCTGAAACAAACACAGCAGAGCACTTTTCACAGTCAACATTAATACATAAATAAATAAATATTAGAAATAAAATAAGAAATTGTTTCACAGCTAAATAAAAAACGCAGCTTCTATTTTTATCCAACAGTCCCCCAATAGCTGCACTTTTAATCAGTTCAGTTCAGTTCAGGTTTAACTGAGACCATTTTAATATCTGAGTTTTGTTTATTTATTTTCCTTCAGCTCAGTCCCTTTATTTATCAGGGGTCGCCACAGCGGAATGAACCACCAACTTATCCAGTATATGTTTTACGCAGAGAATGTCCTTGATGCCGCAACCCAGTACTGGGAAACACCCATACACACTCATTCACACACACACACACACACACGCACACACACGCACACACACACACACACACACACACACACACACACACACACACACACACACACACACACACACACACACTCTATGGCCAATTTAGTTAATCAATTCTCCTATAGCGCATGTGTTTGGACTGTGGGGGAAACTGGAGCACTCTGAGGAAACCCACGCCAACACGAGGAGAACATGCAAACTCCACAGAGAAATGCCAACTGACCAAGCCGGGACTCGAACCAGCGAGGCTGTGAGGCCACATTGCTAACCCCTAAGCCACTGTGTCATCCATTTGTATTTTCATCCGGCTGTTACTCACTTTGGCAACGATCACTTCTTTCTTGAGGATTTTCATGGCGTAATATTTGCCTGTTGCTTTCTCCTTCACCAGAATCACCTTCCCAAAAGTGCCTTTTCCCAGGAGTTTGAGGTATTCGAAGTCATGCATAGTCTGAAACACACAGGAAGAATCTTAACAAGCTTCAAATGGCATACCACACTAATGCCAATACTACAAATATGCAAATACAGAGTTGGTGCAGTAGTGTGTGTGGTTACAGTAGTGTAAAGTATGGGGTGCCTCATGGATCAGCTTTAGGCCCTTTGCTGTTTACAATTTACATGCTACCCCTGGGAGACATTATTAGAAGACATGGGATCAGCTTTCACTGCTATGCAGATGATACTCAATTATATATTTCAACTAAACCTGATGAGATGTCTGAAGTGTCTAAGCTAACTGAGTGTATTAGAGATGTTAAAGACTGGACGACCAACAATTTTTTTCTCTTAAACTCAGACAAAACAGAATTATTACTTATTGGGCATAAATCTTGCACACAGCAGATCTCGCAACTCAATCTACAATTAGAGGGATACAAAGTTAGCTTTAGCTCTACTATAAAAGATCTGGGTTTCACATTAGACAGCAACTTAACTTTTAAAAATCATATATCCCATGTTACAAAAACTGCCTTCTTTCATCTGAGAAATATTGCTAAGTTACGAAATATGCTATCCATCTCAGATGCAGAAAAGCTAGTCCATGCTTTTATGAGCTCTAGGCTGGATTACTGTAATGCTCTGTTTGCTGGCTGCCCAGCATCCTCTATTAACAAACATCAGCTAGTACAACATGCAGCTGCCAGAGTTCTTACCAGGTCCAGAAATATGATCATATAACCCCAATTTTATCCTCCTTACACTGGCTGCCTGTTAAGTTTCAAAATTGAATTTAAAATATTACTTCTCACCTATAAAGATTCAATTCAATTCAATTCAGCTTTATTTGTATAGCGCTTTTACAATGTAGATTGTGTCAAAGCAGCTTCACATAAATGGTCATAGTAACTGGAACAGTGTGGTTCAGGTTTTAGTGTTTAAATTCAGTTCAGTTTAGCTCAGTTCAGTGTGATTTAATCATTACTGAGAGTTCAAATACTGAAGAGCAAATTCATCGATGCGTAGCTCTACCAATCCTGAACAATGCGAGGCAGTGGCGACAGCGGAGAGGGAAAAAAAACTTCACCTGATAGGAGAGTGAAGAAAAAAAACTTTGAGGGAACCAGACTCAGTTGGGCACGACCATTTTAATTTCTCCGCTGGCCAAAAGTCTTGTGCAGAGCTTCATTCGTCGTGGTTTAGGCTGGAAGATGGCCTCAGTGAAGACTCGTCTGTCCCTGGAGCGTCGCTGGAATCAGACTCATGTTCTCCACTCCCCACGACCATCAGCGCAGCAGCAGCTCAGGATATGGCCTGGTCCCGGATATGGAAACCTTGGGATCATCTCGTCGCTGGTCTTGGATCCAATCAGTGACTCCGCATAATCTGAGGGCCTCGGGATGAGTATCCCCAGGTGAAAATAGAGAATAAAGAGAATAATTAGCGTAGCTGCTGTTCATAGTGTATTTAAGCAAGATGCAGAAGCCTGTGTGGAACCCGCTAGGTGATGCATTGAGTGTATGCTTTACTAAACAGATAGGTCTTTAATCTAGTTTTGAACAGAGAGTGTGTCTGAGCCTTGGACTTTATCAGGAAGGCTATTAAAGAGTGTACGAGCCATGAAAGACAAAGCTCGACCTCCTTTACTCGATTTTGCTATTTTGCTATTTTACTCGATAAAGCTTTAAAAAAAATCAAGCTCCTGCTTATCTCACCAACTTTCTGTCTCGATACAGTCCAACCCGCTTTTTTAAACTCTGAATCTGAAAATCTAAAATCTGAAAACTCAGGGCTTCTGGTGGTACCTAGAACAGCAAAGTCCACTAAAGGAGGCCAAGCCTTCTCCTTTATGGCTCCTAAACTCTGGAATAGCCTTCCTGATAATGTCCGAGGCTCAGACACACTCTCTCAGTTCCACACATACACTCAGTGCATCACATAGCATTATGATACATGACTGTGCTCCACGCAGGTTTCAGCATCTCGTTTATATACACTATGAACAGCAGCTACGCTAATTATTCTCCTTATTCTCTATTTCCATCTGGGGATACTCATTCGGAGGCCCTCAGACTATGCAGCGCCACTGATGCAATCCAAGACCAGCCACGAGATGACCCCAAGGTTTCCATAATCCTGGACCAGGCCGTATCCTGAGCAGCTGCTGTGGTGGTCATGCAGGAGTGGAGAGCATGTGACGCTCCAGGGACAGACTAGTCTTCGCTGAGGTCCATCGCTCTCCAGCCTCCGGTAGCTAGACTGCAGCTCTGCTCAAGACGTTTGGCCAGAGGAGAAATGATCGTGCACAACTGAGCCAGGTTTCTCTCCAGGTTTTTTAATTCTTCACTTTAGCCAATTGGTGAATTTTTTTCCTCGTTGTCGCCACTGGCTTGCATGGTTCGAGATCTGTAGAGCTGCGCATCGATGGATTTGCTCTTTAGTGTTTGGACTCTCAGTAGTGAATATTAAACAACACCGAACTGAACTAAACTGAACTTAAACTCTGAAAACTGAACTACACTGTTTCAATCCAGTATAATCTTCAATGTGAAGCTGCCTTGACACAATCTACATTGTAAAAGCGCTAGAGGAATAAAGATGAAGTGAATTGAATAGTGTGTGTGTGAGTGTGTGTGTGTGTGTGTGTGTGTGATGTACCACTTTGTGTGGTGGTTTGCTCAGACTGGTCTCCATGTCTGTGTGTTCTGCTGACGCGTCCATCATCTCCTCCTCTTGTTTCTGCAGACTCTCCGCCACAGTCTGGATGGCTTTGGTCCATTCCTGCCTACAAACACAACAACACCAGCACGACATGACCAACTGCACATGGCTGTATGTGTGTGCACGCTTTCATGAGTGTGTATGCATGCGAATGAATGGATGTGCATGAGTATGCATTTGAATAAGTGTGCATGAAAATGTGTGTGTATGCATCTGTGTGCATGTGCGAATATAAGTAACTGAGCATGTGTATGTGCGTGTGTGTGTGTGTGTATTTGTACAGTATAAAAGTGTATGCGTGGTCATGAGTGTGAATGCATACAGTATGTGTGTTCAAGTGTGTATGCATGAGTAGGAGTGTTTATGTGTTCATGAGTGTGTATGTGTGTGTGCATGTGTAAGTAAGTATATGTGTGTCTATGTGAGGGTGTATGCATGTGCAAGAGTGTGTATGAGTCTGTGTGAGAGTGTGTGTGTGTGTGTATATAAGTAACTAAGTGTGTGTAGATGTGCTTGCATCTATATAGTAAGCGTGTGTGCATGTGTGTGTGAATATATGTGTTTGTACAGTATATATGTGTATGCATGTTCATGTGTGTGTGTTCAGGTGTGTGCATGCATGTGTACCTGTTTAAGTGAGTGTATGTGTGTCTATATGGGTGTGTATGCATGTGCAAGAGTGTGTATGAGTCTGTGTGAGAGTGTGTGTGTGTATATAAGTAACTAAGTGTGTGTAGATGTGCTTGCATCTATATAGTAAGCGTGTGTGCATGTGTGTGTGTGAATATATGTGTTTGTACAGTATATATGTGTATGCATGTTCATGTGTGTGTGTTCAGGTGTGCATGCATGTGTACCTGTTTAAGTGAGTGTATGTGTGTCTATATGAGTGTGTATGCATGTGCAAGAGTGTGTATGAGTCTGTGTGTGTGAATATATATGTTTGTACAGTATATATGTGTATGTATGTGCATGAGTGTGAATGCATACAGGTGTGTGTGTTCAAGTGTGTATGCATGAGTAGTAGTGTTTATGCGTTCATGAGTGTGTATGTGTGTGTGCATGTGTAAGTATATGTGTGTCTATGTGAGGGTGTATGCATGTGCAAGAGTGTGTATGAGTCTGTGTGAGAGTGTGTGTGTGTGTGTATATAAGTAACTAAGTGTGTGTAGATGTGCTTGCATCTATATAGTAAGCGTGTGTGCATGTGTGTGTGTGAATATATGTGTTTGTACAGTATATATGTGTATGCATGTTCATGTGTGTGTGTTCAGGTGTGTGCATGCATGTGTACCTGTTTAAGTGAGTGTATGTGTGTCTATATGAGTGTGTATGCATGTGCAAGAGTGTGTATGAGTCTGTGTGTGTGAATATATATGTTTGTACAGTATATATGTGTATGTATGTGCATGAGTGTGAATGCATACAGTATGTGTGTGTTCAAGTGTGTATGCATGAGTAGGAGTGTTTATGTGTTCATGAGTGTGTATGTGTGTGTGCATGTGTAAGTAAGTGTATGTGTGTCTATGTGAGGGTGTATGCATGTGCAAGAGTGTGTATGAGTCTGTGTGAGAGAGTGTGTGTGTGTATATAAGTAACTTAGTGTGTGTAGATGTGCTTGCATCTATATAGTAAGCGTGTGTGCATGTGTGTGTGTGAATATATGTGTTTGTACACTATATATGTGTATGCATGTTCATGTGTGTGTGTTCAGGTGTGTGCATGCATGTGTACCTGTTTAAGTGAGTGTATGTGTGTCTATATGAGTGTGTATGCATGTGCAAGAGTGTGTATGAGTCTGTGTGTGTGAATATATATGTTTGTACAGTATATATGTGTATGTATGTGCATGAGTGTGAATGCATACAGTATGTGTGTGTTCAAGTGTGTATGCATGAGTAGTAGTGTTTATGTGTTCATGAGTGTGTATGTGTGTGTGCATGTGTAAGTAAGTGTATGTGTGTCTATGTGAGGGTGTATGCATGTGCAAGAGTGTGTATGAGTCTGTGTGAGAGTGTGTGTGTGTGTATATAAGTAACTAAGTGTGTGTAGATGTGCTTGCATCTATACAGTAAGCGTGTGTGCATGTGTGTGTGTGTGTGTGTGTGTGTGTGTGTGAATATATGTGTTTGTACAGTATATATGTGTATGCATGTTCATGTGTGTGTGTTCAGGTGTGTGCATGCATGTGTACCTGTTTAAGTGAGTGTATGTGTGTCTATACGAGTGTGTATGCATGTGCAATAGTGTGTATTAGTCTGTGCGTGCGAATATATATGTTTGTACAGCATATATATGTTTATGTATGTGCATGAGTGTGAATGCATACAGGTGTGTATGCATGAGCATGAGTGTGTGTGTGTTTAGGTGTATGCATGCATGTTTAAATGTGTAAGTGAGTGTATGTGTGTCTATGTGAGTGTGTGAGCATGTGTAAGAGTGTGTATGAGTCAATATGTCAATGTAAGTAAGTTTGTGTATACAGTAAGTGTGTGTGTGTGTGTGTGTGTGACCTTTCTTCAGGCGTCTCCACGTGGAAGGTGCGCTCAATGACAGTGGTCCACTGCAGGCAGCGTATGATGAATGTGTTTGGTTTCGGTCGCTCCGTCTTCATCAGCTGACATTCTGGACACATCCGGAGGAAAACACACCAGAGACACACACACACACACACACACACACACACACACAGACTGAGAAATGACACCCGCAATCATTTATCTTTATCTGTGTGTTTCTCCAGCAGCGCATCACATACACTCAGTGGGGAACTGAACAGGTGCGCACCACTCTACACACACACACACACTCGACATCCCACACCATCACGCCAGAATGAAAACACTGGATGAAAACGCAACAGGCAGAAGCATGCATCTAATCTGCCGTATGAACACAGCGCCCAGCAGAAAGCTTTATTATTAGTGGCTCTAATTCATTAAGTGTATTAGGTTATGCATGCATTTATTAATAATTCTAATAATTATACTTTAATTATGAATAACTGTTTATTTCTGTTAGAAATGTTGCAAACACTGATTGTAGATCTCAACAAACCGAAAAAAAAGCATAAAGGAATATAAACTAGTGCTGTCAATCGATAAAAACAATTAACTAATTAATCACACTATTTTGCAATTATTCGCAATGATTAATCAAATTTAAAAGGCTGAAAAATGTCATTTTGGCGATTCAAATGTAAAATTAAGGTAAACGCGAGACAAAAAACTATTTAAATTCTAAATATAATTGTTTATTAGAATTTTTGTTTAACTTGTAACACAGATTTCTTCATGTAAACAACATACCCACAATAAACCATCAAGATCCTGGCTTAACAGCCATATTTATTACAGAAATTAAAACACAGGGATGTTAATGACATTTGAATTTCAAAACAATCAATGCCAATAACAAAAAAAAAAAATGATTTCCATGTTGGATTCAAAGTGGACTGCAAAACAAATGCCCAAATACACAACAGAGTCTGGATGCAGACATGATGCAGTCTCAGACCGATGCACATGTCCGGCTGAGATTGCATCACTCTGAATGCGCATGTCTGGCTGAGATTGCACCGGTCTGAGACTGCATCATGTATGTATCCAGACCCTTCTCAAAATACAGGCGTTGCAGATATGGAAAATTCTAACCATAAAGTGTTGAATACAAACAATTGTACTCATTGAAAAGTTGTATTGCTGTGAGTTGTGAACATTTATTAAAGCAGAAACAATAATGCTCAGCACTCCTTTACATTCAGCCAGTTGCTAAGACAGTCCAGCCTGTTGACATTACCTTTTTTTTTTTAAATGAGCTAAGAGTGTGAACAGTCTTTCACAAGCAGGATCACTGAATCAGCATAGGATTTTCGGTGCCTAATTTTGTTGCCGCTGGTGCTGTACCAAGCGGTACATTAAAGGCACCCACAGGTTGTGTCACACCAAAGGCTCGTTCTTACAGGGACTTTGGTCACGCAATCTGTAAACAATTAAACAACTTTAAGGGATACGGACGGCGATGTCGGCGGTGTTAAAATATCGTTTAAAAATAAACAAATAAACAACAGGCTGAAAACATGGTGGAATCACATGACCACAATGGCTTTTCTTTTATCTGGATCGCTTTTGAAAACACTACTGGTTGGGTTTAGGGGTGGGGGTGGATCAGTCAGGCAGTCAGGCAGTCGACAGCTAGCTGGCCTGGTCGGATGGAGTGTATATTACGCACTTTGGTGGATTTACGCAAGAAAAGGACGCGCAGGAGGAATTTGAGATCAACAAGCAGTGTGCACAGCAGCCTCCGGTGGATTTGCAAAAACAAAAGCTGCGAGCAGACGTGCCTGCGGTTGTGTATTTCAATATCCCCAGACGTGTAGACCTGGGTACATATATCTGCCCATGGGCAAAGTAAATAATCTTAATTTCAAAATAGGAGCAAGATTATGGGCAACACGGTTGCTCAGTGGTTAGCACTGTGGCTTCATAGCAAGAAAGTCACTGGTTCAAGTCCTGGCTGGGCTAGTTGGCGTTTCTGTGTGGAGTTTGCATGTTCTCCCCGTGTTGGTGTGGGTTTTCTCCGGGTGCTCCGGTTTCCACCATAGTCCAAACACATGCGCTATAGGGGAACTGATGAACTGAATTGGCCATAGTGTATGAGTGAGTGTGTAAATGTGAGAGGGTATTGGTGTTTTCCCAGCTGAAAGGGCATCCACTGTGTAAAACGTATGCTGGAATAGTTAGCGGTTCATTCCACCGTGGACACCCCTTATAAATAAGAGACTAAGCTAAAGGAAAATAGGTAACACTTTAGAATAACTATCCTAAATAGTATATGTATAGTTATAAATCATTAAAACACTGTTAACAAGTCATTTATAACTTGTTAACTAACAGCTTGTAAGTTATCTATTGGCCATTTACAAGGCACAGTTATAAACAATTAACAAACTAGTAACTTTTATTTAATAAGTAATGTACAACTCATTAACTAACAGTTTATTAATAGTCTATTAACTAGTTATAACAATAGTTGTAAACAATTAATAAACTATTAACTATTATTTAACAAGTCATTTATAACTCATTAACTAACAGTTTACTAATAATCTATTAACTAGTTATAATGGATATTTGTAAGCAATTAACATATTATTAACTATTATTTAACAAGCCATTTATAAACCGTTAACTAACAGTTTATTAATAGTCTATTAACTAGTTATAACAATAGTTGTAAACATTTAATAAACGATTAACTATTATTTAACAAGTCATTTATAACTCATTAACTAACAGTTTACTAATAATCTATTAACTAGTTATAATGGATATTTGTAAGCAATTAACATATTATTAACTATTATTTAACAAGCCATTTATAAACCGTTAACTAACAGTTTATTAATAGTCTATTAACTAGTTATAACAATAGTTGTAAACAATTAATAAACGATTAACTATTATTTAACAAGTCATTTATAACTCATTAACTAACAGTTTACTAATAATCTATTAACTAGTTATAATGGATATTTGTCAGCAATTAACATATTATTAACTATTATTTAACAAGCCATTTATAAACCGTTAACTAATAGTCTATTAACTAGTTATAACAATAGTTGTAAACATTTAATAAACGATTAACTATTATTTAACAAGTCATTTATAACTCATTAACTAACAGTTTACTAATAATCTATTAACTAGTTATAATGGATATTTGTCAGCAATTAACATATTATTAACTATTATTTAACAAGCCATTTATAAACCGTTAACTAATAGTCTATTAACTAGTTATAACAATAGTTGTAAACATTTAATAAACGATTAACTATTATTTAACAAGTCATTTATAACTCATTAACTAACAGTTTACTAATAATCTATTAACTAGTTATAATGGATATTTGTAAGCAATTAACATATTATTAACTATTATTTAACAAGCCATTTATAAACCGTTAACTAACAGTTTATTAATAGTCAATTAACTAGTTATAACGGATAGCTATAAACAATTAACAAACTATTAACTATTATTTAACAAGTCACTTATAACCCATTAACTAACAGTTTGTTAATGATTTATAAACTACCTATAACGGATAGTTATTCTAAAGTGTTACCGGAAAATAAATTAAATGCTTTTTCCTTCGGCACCAAACTTCAAACTTGAAAAATAGTTCATTGCAAAATGTTGCAAACTATTGACATGGGCTGAATGTAAACAAACAGAGTTGAAGGATAGACTGCCATTTCATTTGCTTGTTTAAATTCAGCCCATATCAATAGTTTGCAACCAGTTCTCTTAAAAAAATATTGTCAGTTTAATTAACAATTTTTCTTTTGAGTGTAGACTTTCAAACATCCACACCTAGATTCAAAAGCATTGATAGCATCAGTCAGAAAGTGTTGCGGAAAATAAAAAGAGAGTGCTTTCTCTTCACACACAGATGCTATAACCAATGCGCAACTGCGTCCACTAAAAACAGGACGGTCATCACTTGTTAAAAACTCAAACTCACGTCTTTTTAAAGCAGAAATAAGCTGTGTCTGTGTTCTCAAAAATGCATCTCAAAGAGGAAAAAAAGTGGTGTTTTCAGTGCGACGAAGCACATTGGTCTCCAGTCTCCAGCAGCGTCTGCGTTCTCCAGCAAACATATGTGGAGGAGACATGTGTCACCAGACCACCACTGAGACGCAGGAATAATGAGGATCAGACACTTAATAACCACTATATTTCATGAGTGTCAGCGAGGAAGCGTCTCTTGAACAAACATTATGGCTGTCTAATTAGTCTGTTCAATCATTTCAACAGTTTCTGCTGAGGTTCGACTGGCGACGACAACCCAGAATATGCTTAATATGTTGCACACGTCCCTCGAGGAAACACAAAAACTGTTGGAGGTCAGATGGAGATGTGCGGAAAATATCGTCCAGTCATTAAATTAAGCATGCACGCAGGGGAATATCTCAGATTTACTTCAAACACGTTTAAACTTTACATTATAGTTAAGTGTTTATGTGCAAATATGTGACCCTGGAGAAGACATAAGGGACATAAGAGTCAATGTTTGGAGCGAGATTTATGCATCGTCTATATTTTAAGAAATCATCCAGTCATTAAGTGAAGCATATTTATTGCATTTAGTTTTAACTAGTCTCAACTGTACATTAAAGTTGAGTTTTCATGTGCAAATATGTGTACCTTGAGCACAAAACCATCATAAGGGTCAATGTTTGGACAGTGACATTCATATAGTACTTACATACATAAATAGACATATTTTTGTATTACTATTTATTTATTTATTTCAGACATTTGTCAATATATTGCTTATTTATTTGTTTATTTATTTTATTAATTGATTTTATTTATTTATTTATTTATTTCAGACATTTGTCAATATATTGCTTATTTATTTGTTTATTTATTTTATTAATTGATTTTATTTATTTATTTATTTATTTCAGACATTTGTCAATATATTGCTTATTTATTTGTTTATTTATTTTATTAATTGATTTTATTTATTTATTTATTTATTTCAGACATTTGTCAATATATTGCTTATTTATTTATTTATTTATTTATTTCAGACATTTGTCAATATATTGCTTATTTATTTGTTTATTTATTTATTTCAGACATTTGTCAATATATTGCTTATTTATTTATTTATTTATTTCAGACATTTGTCAATATATTGCTTATTTATTTATTTATTTATTTATTTCAGACATTTGTCAATATATTGCTTATTTATTTGTTTATTGATTTTATTAATTGATTTTATTTATTTATTTATTTATTTCAGACATTTGTCAATATATTGCTTGTTTATTTATTTATTTATTTCAGACATTTGTCAATATATTGCTTATTTATTTGTTTATTTATTTTATTAATTGATTTTATTTATTTATTTATTTATTTATTTATTTATTTATTTATTTATTTATTTATTTATTTATTTCAGAAATTTGTCAATATATTGCTTATTTATTTATTTATTTTTTAATTTTTTTATTTCAGACATTTGTCAATATATTGCTTATTTATTTGTTTATTTATTTATTTCAGACATTTGTCAATATATTGCTTATTTATTTATTTATTTCAGACATTTGTCAATATATTGCTTATTTATTTATTTATTTATTTATTTTATTAATTGATTTTATTTATTTATTTATTTATTTCAGACATTTGTCAATATATTGCTTATTTATTTATTTATTTATTTCAGACATTTGTCAATTTATTGATTATTTATTTGTGTATTTATTTTATTAATTAATTTTTTATTTTGTTTATTTATTTATTTATTTAATTTATATTTCAGATATTTGTCAATATATTGCTTATTTATTTGTGTATTTATTTTATTAATTGATTTTATTTATTTAATTTATTTCAATAAATTATAATATAAAATAAAAATATTTATTTTAATATATAGCTTTTTTCATCTCAGACATTTGTCAATATATTGCTTTTTTATTTATTTATTTCAGATATATGTTAATATATTGTTTACTTATTTTATTAATTGATTTTATTTATTTATTTAATTTATTTCAATAAATGATAATATAAAATAAAATAAAAATAATTTATTTCAATATATAGCTTTTTTCATTTCAGACATTTGTAAATATATTGCTTATTTATTTTAAACTTTTGTCAATTTAGTGCTTATTTAATTATGATAATAATTTGACTTCCCCCTCTTTTTTTAAGAGAAAAACGTTGAATAGTGAAAATCCTCCACAAATGTTAGACTGTGATATTTTTCTAAGTAAACTGTCAGAGACTCACGGGCCACAGAGAAGTTGTTGAGCGGCGTCTCCAGCTGATCCACATCTTGCGGTCGCTCCTTATAGCCGATAAACGTACCGTCACTCTTCAGCAAGAAGTACCGCGGCCTCCATGTCTTTATATACTCCCCTAAAAGACAGACAGAGAAACAACTACATCAGGATTACTGACAGAAAAACCACGGCCTTCACGACTTTATATACTCTCCTGAAGGACAGACAGAGAAATAAACACATCAGGATTATTGACAGACCAAAGAACAAAGACAAAGAACAAGGACATACATTCTCTCCACACCACCACCAGTGTGCAGCTCTACTTGGATGATGTGATGGCAGCCACAGGACAACGGCGCCAGTGTGCTCACCACACACCAGCTATAGGTGGAAAGACAGTGATAGAGCCAATTCTGTGTAAGGGGATGACTGGGAGTCCATGATCTGGCTGATGGAGGGAATTTAGCCAGGGTTACACCGCTACTCTTTATCAGAAGTGCCATAGGATTTATAATGACCACATAGAGTCAAGACCTCAGTATAACGTCTCATCCGAAAGACTGTGCTCACTGACAGTATAGCGTGCCCTTCACTGTACTGGGGCATTAGGACTCACACAGACCACAGGTTGAGCGCCCCCTGCTGGCCTTACTAACACCACTTCCAACAGTCAGCAGCCTAGTTTTCCCATGTGGTCTCCCATCCAGGTACAGACCAGGCTCAGCCCTGCTTAGCTTCAGTGAGTAACCGCTCTTTAATTATACAAGAATCAAGCTGTTGTCTATTTTAATTGCTTTTATTTGCATTTATTTACGATTTAGATTATTGTTAGGGTTTTAATTTGACTTGTATATCATACGTTTTATATATATATATAT